ATCTTTGTACCCCCAGAAGCCTAAGGGTCAGATAAAGTGCATACTCACAGGACAACAGCTCCTTGAGGAAACTGGCCTCAGTCAGTCTGTGAATTGGGGTGAAGCAGGAGATGGTGTGGTCAGCTGACCTCTAGGAGAAACCATAGGATGAGGGTTCGCCCCAAAACTGATATGAAACTGCCTCTATTTTGCTCTTTTGAAGGCTTTTACTTTCACTGTAAATGTGTTAAGAACAAGTTTGGAGCTTGCTGGTTATTCTGTGGAGCATTCTCCTAACCTGACCTGGATACTTCCCTATAGTATAGTAGTACATGGGGATGGAAGTTGGCCTCTTCACTCACTTCTTTTAAGAATAATTTATTTTTATGTGTATGAGTGTTTAGCCTACATGGTTTTTTGCTGATGTTTTTGGTCTTTTTGAGATAGGGTTTCCCTTTAGCCCCAGCTGGCCTTGAACTCACAGCTTCCTCTGCTGGAATTAAAGGTGTGCTTGGCCAAGCCTGCATGTTTGTATGCATACCTCACGTGTGCCTGGTACCTGCAGAGGCCAGAAGAGGGTGTCATATCCCCTTGGAACTGTAGTTACAGGTGGTCATGAGCTGGTTGCAAGTGGTCATGAACTGCCGTGTGGGTACTAGGGACCAAATTCTGGTTCTCTGCAAGAACAGCAAGTGCTCTTAATTGCTGAGCCATATCTCTAGCCCCTTAACTTGTTTTCTGAGATAGAAGTTTCATTGTGTAACCAGACTAGTCTTGAACTCAAGCTGCCCTCAAAACTCTTAACAGTTCTGCCACAGCCTGCCAAATGCTGGAATTTAGGCATGCACTACATACCTGGCTGTTTGATATTTTTAGATGTTTCCTATGGTATAGCCATGGCTGGCCTGGAACTCATGATCCTCTTTTTTTTTTTGGTCTTTTTGAGACAAGGTCTCCCTGTAGCCCCAGCTGGCCTGGAACTCACTATGTAGACCAGGCTGGCCTCGAACTCACAGAGATCCGCTTGCCTCTGCCTCTGCCTCCCGAGTGCTGGAATTAAAGGCATGCGCCACCACGCCTGGCTATGATCCTCTTTTTTTTTAGCCTCTTGAATCCTGTAATTGCAGGATTGTAGCATCATACCACTCTGTATAGGGTTTGGCCTTAACCCAAGTGCAAGAGTATTATAGGGGATCGATGTGACCAGCTTTGTGGTTTAGAGCTCAGGCATACAAGACTAGTGTCGGCCCTGAGGTCTCTGAATGAGCTTTGGCAAAACCCTCTTACATTGTTGAACCCCAGCACTTACCATATAAAGCATGATGACAGTGGAACTTTATCATGTGCCATGTGTATGACTACCTAGAAATAAATACATTGAGGTCAAGCAGGTATAGAGCAAAGTTGGTGTTGGCTCCAGGAACTGCTTTTGACCTTAAAGCAAAGTCCCTTATGCACAGCTTCTTGGGGATTTTCTTTAAGATTTATTTTCTTTTATGTGTATGTCTATTTTCTATGTGAGTGCCATGTGTTTGGGAGTCCTCACAGAGACCAGAAAAGAGTACCAGATTCCCTTGAGCAATCAAACTCTGGTCCTTTGGAAGAGCAGCAAGTGCTCTTTCTTAACTGCTGTGCTATCTCTCCTGTCTCATTTTGTTTTTTGTTTTGTTTGAGACAAAGTCTCTAGCCTAGGCTGGCCTTAATTCACTATGTATTTAAGGATGGCCTTGAGCTTTGGAGCTTCCAGCCCCTACCTCTTGGGCACTAGAATTACAGGCATGTACCATCATATCTGGTTTATGCAATGCTGAGATCAAACCCAGAGCCTTGAACAGGTTAGGCAAGCACTCTCCATTGAGCTGTATCTCCAAACCTCCCCCAACCCCCAGTCCTTTTCTTTGTTTTTTCCACACTTTTTATTCTCAGACAGGGTCTTGCTAAGTTTCCCAGGCTGGCCTTGAAGTCACTCTGTAGCCTGGACAGGCCTTGAATGTGGGTTCTCTTGCCCAGCCTTTTATGTAGCTGGGATCATAGGCCTGTACTACCAGACCTGGCTTCATCTAGTTTTGAAAGTCCTTCTCATACTTTCTGGGAGCCCCTGAGTTGTCTTGTTCATCACAACCCTTATACTTCCCCACTAAGCCAGAATTTCCTTTTGTCCCTTCACTATCATTTTAGCCAAATAGTTTTTGTTTTGTTTTGTTTTTTGAGACAGCTGGCCTGGAATTCGCTATGTGGACCATACTGGCTTGGAGCTCACAAAGATCCAACCTGCCTCTGCCTCCCAAGTGCTGGGACAAAAGGCCTGCACCACCATGCCTGGCTAGCCAAATAGTTGTTTTTTGTTTTTTTTTCCTTTGTCTTTTTGAGACAGGGTCTCCCTGTAGCACCAGCTGTCCTGGAACTCACTATGTAGACCAGGCTGGCCTCAAACTCACAAAGATCCACCTGCCTCTGCCTCCCAAGTGTTGGGATTAAAGGCGTGTGCCACCACACCTAGCCTCCAAATAGTTTTTATAACAGAAATTTATCTTAAGAATAATACTACAGGGGCGAGGGTGGTGGCTAGAGAGATGGCTCAGCGGTTAAGAGTACTGGCTGCTTTTGCAGAATACCCCGGTTCAATTTCCAGCACCCACATGGTTACTAACAACCATCTGGCTCCCTCTTCTGGCATTGCATGACATGGGTGCACTTACATGCAGGCAATACACTCATGTACAAAGATAAAAATAATGAAATATTTTTAAAAAAAGAAAAATATGGGCCAGGCGTGGTTGGTGCACGCCTGTAGTCCCAGCACTTGGGAGGCAGAGGCAGGCGGATCTCTGAGAGTTCAAGGCCAGCCTGGTCTACATAGTGAGTTCCAGGACAGCTGGGGCTACAGGGAGACCCTGTCTCAAAAAGACCAAAAGAAAAGAAAAATACTGGGCTGGAGAGATGGCTCAGCGGTTAAGAACACTGACTGTTCTTGGGGAAAACCTGGGTTAAATTCCCAGGACCCACATGGCAGCTAACAACTGTCCGTAACTCCAGTCCCAGGGGATCCGACAGCCTCTTCTGACCTCTGCAGGCATTGCATGACACGGG